CTTTCGTGCGTGTCTATAAACCTTCGTAAGGTGCTCGCTACCAGCACTCGCTCGTCGAGTCTGCTCAGGCAACACGGGGGGTCTTCGCTGTGCGCACAGTCTAACCGTGCGTTTTGTGGGAGTGGTGGCGCAGCGGTTAGCGCGCTGCGCTACTCAACCTGGCGGATTCCGAACTCCATAGGTCGAATCAGCCTCAAATTAGTACCTAGTGCGGTGTAAAAAAAAACATCGCCACTGGGGAGACAAAGGCGGTCGGGCGCGGCGCTTGCCACCCACCATCTCGTATACCACACGGGCCTTTATACGTGATACTCGCTAACTGCACTTGCGTGTGTTGAGTGGTGATGGCTATTACATTGTTCACTGGGGTGACTCGGGTTCTCAAGTCACCAATGACTCACACAGAGACCCATATGCTCACACAGAGACCCATATACTCACACAAAGACCCATAGACTCACACAGCGACTCATAGATTCACACGGAGACCGATAGTCTCACATAGAGACACATATGCTCACACAGAGACCCATAGACTCACATAGAGACCCATAGACTCACAGAAACCCATAGACTCACATAGAACCCCATAGACTCACATAGAGACCCATAGACTCACATAGAGACCCTATGAGCTGTGATTAAGCCGGGTTCTCAACTGCAGCGAGTTAATGGTCTGGTCTCCAATGACTGTACACACACACGCACACAAAATAAACATCACGTGACACTTCTTTCTGCGCTTCATTTGGCTAAATTTCATTCCAGAGTTGCTCCTCAGAGCGGGTGTGTGGTTCAGAGGTCACGTGAAGACGGAGGTCTCGAAGGTAGTTCTGCGGGCTTGTGACAACTTCCGCGGGCCGTTCTCTCACGCAGCGGGTGGAGATTTCTCACGGATTCCTCGTGTGGTGACACTGCGCAGAACGCTGGCACGACGCGACGCGTCCATTGTTACAAATCAAATTGAGATGAGGCGGTGTGGGGATTTCAGAGAGCAGTTCAGATCGTTGGGACACGAATGGCCGCGTTAGAAAACGCGGTGGGTGCCTTACGGCGCCTCTAAGTCGTGCTGAATCGTGGCTGACGGCAGAGGTTCGGCGGGGCTGAAACTACTCGTTATCCAGCAGTGGATTGACCGTGGCTGACGGTGTTGATGGTGATGCTGGTGATGCTGGTCATGATGGTGATGACAGTGATGACGGTGATGATGGTGATGACGGTGATGATGGTGATGATGGTGATGACGGTGATGATGGTGATGATGGTGATGATGGTGATGACGGTGATGATGGTGATGATGGTGATGCTGGTGATGATGGTGATGATGGTGATGACGGTGATGATGGTGATGATGGTGATGATGGTGATGACGGTGATGATGGTGATGATGGTGATGCTGGTGATGTTGGTGATGACGGTGATGATGGTGATGACGGTGATGATGATGGTGATGATGGTGATGACGGTGATGATGGTGATGATGGTGATGCTGGTGATGATGGTGATGACGGTGATGATGGTGATGACGGTGATGATGGTGATGACGGTGATGATGGTGATGACGGTGATGATGGTGATGACGGTGATGATGGTGATGACGGTGATGATGATGGTGATGATGGTGATGATGGTGATGATGTCGGCAATGCGGGGAGGTGTCGCGGCCCTTCCTAGCTGAGATATCGCGTGTTGCTGTTGCTGTTGTTGTTGTTGCTGTTGTTGTTGCTGTTGTTGCTGTTGTTGTTGTTTTGGTTTTGTTTGTAGTTTTTCTTTTGTTTCTTGCTTTTGTTTTCTTTGTAGTTTTGTTTTAGTTTTTATTTTGTTTTGATTGTAGTTTAAGTTTTTATTTTGTTTGTAGTGTTTGTTTTTGTTTGAAACTTTCGTGACTGCAGGAATCCAAACTCTTTGCTTCTTTCGGTGAAGTCACGTAGGTAAAACATAATAATAATAATAACAGATCACGACGTTTCAATCGCCACACAAGCGGCCGTCCTCAGGTGGGATAAGGACGACGACCACTTGTGTAGGCGATCGAAACGTCGTGATCTGTTGTTATTTTTCTACGTGACTTTACCGGAAGAAGCAAAGAGTATAGTTTGTGTTTTGTTTGTAGTTTTGTTTGTAGTTTTATTTGTAGTTTTTGTTTTCTTGGTTCTTTCGGTAAAGTCGCGTAGAAGGGAAATAATACAATAATACAAATATATATATGATTTATATATGATTGTATATGATTGTTTGTGTTGCAGTCGAAACGTCGTGAGAATTTTTGTTGTTTTATATTTGTATTATTTTATTAGTTCCTTTCTATGTGACTTTCCTGAAAGAACCAAGAATATGAATCCCTGCAGTCACGAAAGCTTAAAATCAAATTTAGTTTTTATTTTGTTTGTAGTTTTAGTTTTGTTTTTAGTTTTTGTTTTGTTTGTAGTTTTAGTTGTTGTTTGTTTTTAGTTTTTGTTGTGTTTGTAGTTTTAGTTGTTGTTTGTTTGTCGTTTTTGTTTGTTGTTTGGCCCTCGTGTCACGCCACGGGAAGATGAGTGCAAAGGAAGCAAGGCGAGAGAATGAAGGAGCGAGCAGAAGTGAGCGTTACGGAGCAGCGTCTGTTTTCAAAGGAGGCGGTGGATCGTGAGCGGGGGTGGCGGAAGTCACGTGATGTACGGGAGGTTTTGGTTTATTTCGATTTTTTTTTAAATACGCGACGTCCACATCACCTCGGGACGTTAACGATCCCCGTCAAGAGCAGGCCTCTGTGTGACAACGTCAGGAACCAAATCACCAGACAATGACACAATTGGGATCACACTGTAGACGCAGAAGCAGCAGCAGCAGCAATAATCGCACTCTTACTAGAGTGAAGACGAATGGCCCAGGTCTTGAAGTTGAGACTCATCCTGCTATCTTGAATTCTCACCTGGTTATATAATCTAGAACTCACCCGCCCACTTACCAACCCACTGGCTCTTGCAAATGAGACTTTATCCTGGTATATTGAGTTCACAGCTGGTTACACAAAATCAACTTGAACTCACCCACTTACCCACCCACTCACCCACCCACTCACCCACTCACCCACTCACCCACCCACCCACTCACCCACCCACTCATCCACCCACCCACTCATCCACTCACCCACTCACCCACCCACTCACCCACCCACTCATCCACCCACCCACTCACCCACTCACCCTCCCACCCACCCACTCACTCACCCACTCATCCACCCACCCACTCACCCACTCACCCACTCACCCACTCATCCACCCACCCACTCATACACTCACCCACTCATCCACCCACCCACTCACCCACCCACTCACCCACCCACTCACCCACTCACTCACCCACCCACTGATTATTGTCTCTACCCTGGTCTCTTCAGTTCTCAGCTGGTTGCACAAACCCAACGTCAACTTGAACTCACCCACTTACCCACCCACTCACCCACCCACTCACCCACTCACCCACTTACCCACCCACCCACTCACCCACCCACTCATCCACCCACCCACTCATCCACTCACCCACTCACCCACCCACTCACCCACCCACTCATCCACCCACCCACTCACCCACTCACCACCCACCCACCCACTCACCCACCCACCCACCCACCCACTCACTCACCCACTCACCCACTCACCCACCCACTCACCCACTCACCCACTCATCCACCCACCCACTCATCCACTCACCCACTCATCCACCCACCCACTCACCCACCCACTCACCCACCCACTCACCCACTCACTCACCCACCCACTGATTATTGTCTCTACCCTGGTCTCTTCAGTTCTCAGCTGGTTGCACAAACCCAACGTCAAACTTGACCTCGTGCGTGGCTTTGTTACCCCCAGGGTGCGTCACGGTCCACCTGGGTTGCCTTTCGGCGGTTCCCGAACGCCATTCCCCTCGCAACCTGCGCACGTGTGCTGCCCTGTGCTGCCCTGTGCTGCCCTGTGCTGCCCTGTGCTGCCCTATGCTGCCCTGTGCTGCTTCTGTGCCAGTGCAAACGAGGTCATTACACGCTACACGTTCCCGATAATTGTGTGTCAACAAAGGCCTACGTGATGTAAGAGAGAGAGCTCACATTCGGATTGATACTTCGCGCGTGCCAACAGACTCAGAGTTGGGTATCTTTATATCGTACTGGAGGAATCCGTGTGCATTGATGTTTAGTTTTTGTATCCGACTGCGTGTACGTCATGTATTTAAAGACACACCAGCGACAAGGCTATTTACTTGATTCACTAACAAAAACGAGGTCCCTGTAATTGTTTAAATGAGACTTAAATGAATGTACAACGTCAGGCTGAGCCTCCCCTAGGATTGTAACTGATTACTGTCGCGAATACCGACACGAAGAACAAGGGGGTTGGGGAAGTGGTTGGCAAGACGCTCGTCCGCCTTCGTCTCCCCAGCGCCGGTACACATACAGAGACAAAGATCCCCATCGCCTCGATAGACCGTTGGGGCAAGTGCTGTTAGCGAGTAGCAGCACCTATGAAGGCCGGCGCTGTGGCTCACGAGGGGGTGGGTGGCCAGCACCACTCGTCTACGACGTGAATATCGCATTTGCTTCACGCAAAGTCTGACTCTGCTGGTCGTGAGAAACTGAATGTGGAAACCGGTGCAGAGTTCTCCTCGTGTTGAAACGCCACTGAGGATCAAGCAATGCGCTTCTCAGCCAAATCCGTTCAAGCTGATCGGATTTCAACCGATGGGATGTCTAAAATAAATGTGTTTGTGTTTATACGTTCCTATCGTGTTGATTCACGTGGAGAGACGAGTGCGAGCGTGGAAGAGGTGGCATCATTTGTTCATCACGTTGCGTCCCTGAAATGCCTTCCTTTCTCGCCCGTGCGATGATGGGGAGGAGGCGGCGGTTATGTTAATGATACGGTGACGTGCCGTACACTTTTCTTTCAAAGCGAAACTGCGCCCTCTCCTCCCTCCCTTCTCCTCTCCCTCCCCCAAACCCCAGCATCCATCCCTCGGCCTGTTCAATCCACCCCACCACACAGAGAGACAGACAGAGAGAGAGAGAGACGGCTCCTCTTGCACGCACACACACACAGAGACAATCACACTCAGTCACTCCGCGCGTATTGCTCTCTGTACTGACACACGCACTAACACCTAGGACACTGCAATCAGGAAAACCTCGGATATATGATCTTGAGCTTGTACATATATATATTTACACACACGAGTCTGCGTGTTTAATTATGTTGTGAGTCCGCAAACACTTCACTGTAGTATCGCGTATATATAGTACCAGTTCTATTGCAGATATATATACACACACAGACAACACACTGCCACGCTCCATAGCCATGCGGCAGGCACGTTAGGCTTGCAAGCGGCTCGCGGGGTAACAGAAGATACGTACATCTGTGCGTGCGCGCGCGTGTGTGTCTGTGCCGTGTGCCGTGTGCGTGCCCTTGTGTGCGCGTTTCTCGCGTCCCTACACTCGGGAAGGACGAGAGAGTGAGAGCGAGAGGGGGAGGAGGGAGCCCGAGCTGAATTTGTTCTTTTTCCATCGAGAAGATGCCTGCGTTCGTTTCGACGCCGCCTCGAGTCTCGGAGAAGTCGCCGTTGCACATCGCGAACCGCCGCGGCATCCACTAGCGAAGGCAGCGAGAGACGATTTGCAGAAGCCAACAACAACAACGGAACAAGTCCAGCGCGGGCGGCGGTCGGCCCGAGTTCGAAATCTCTCGAGAAGTTTGTTGGACCCGGAGAGAGCCGCGTGAGCTGCAAGTCGCGCGCAGAGTCGGCGTCGTTCTCTCTCCTCTCGTTCATTCACGAGCGCCAGCGTCCGCCGATGCACCTCGGGGTTGGTGACGTTTCGCTTTCTCGTCCTGCACAGCAGAAGATCTTTACAGTTACGGGCAACTGAGCAGGAGGAGGAGGAGGGCAGTCGCCGTTGTGATTGTCCAATGATCGTCCGCTCCGACGAGCTGTCAGCCGATGCTCCTGTACTGCCGTGACTGCTGGATGGGTGCGAGCGGTGAGACGTGAATCCACCTCGGCCCGTTCCACGCCGACGATTTCCCCGCTGCCACCGCTCGACGGCGATCTCGCGGCCACGACAACAAGGAGCGAGCAGAGAGCAACAACCGGGTTCACAATAACAAACAATCAACAACAACAACACGTGCGTGCGTGCGCGCGTGCGTGCGCGCTCCAACAGCGAGACATGACTTAAGCGAAACTTCTTTGACGCGCGCAGAGTGACTGGGCACAACAAGGACAACAACAACAACAACAAGAACAGCAACAGCAACAACAACAACGCGACTTGTTTACCGACAAGATAGATCGTCGTCGCCGTCGCGATGAAGGATAAGACAAAGAACGCCGCCAGGACTCGACGGGAGAAGGAGAACGGGGAGTTTTATGAGCTCGCCAAACTGCTGCCTCTCCCGTCCGCGATCACCTCGCAACTCGACAAGGCGTCCATCATCCGCCTCACCACCAGCTACCTCAAGATGCGCTCCGTCTTCCCCGAAGGTAACGAACAAACAAACAACAACAACAAACAAACAACCCAACTAGTCGCGTGCGTCCCTTTCCCAGCTACCGAACTCCGTGACGCCGCCACCGCCGCCACCATGGCCACGTGCGGGAGACTAGTAACGTCAGAGTCGGAGTAGTCGGAGTCGTTGTTGCTCCACGCGGTGTGGTGTGGACCTTTCAACTGGGTCTGCTTCGTGACGTTATGCGCGAAGGGCCCACGGTGTCTCGTATTCACCATGAATTCACCACGTATTCACCATGAATTCACCACTAATTCACCACGTATTCACCTCGAATTCACCACGAATTCGCCATGAATTCACTTCGTATTCACCTCGTAATCACGATGGATTCACCACGTATTCACCACGTATTCACCATGAATTAACTTCGTATTCACTTCGTAATGCCCACGTATTCACCTTGTATTCACCATGAATTCACCATGAATTCCCCTCGTATTCACCATGAATTCACCACGTATTCACCATGAATTCACTTCGTATTTATCTCCTATTCACCATGAATTCACCATGAATTCACCACGTATTCACTTCGTATTCACCATGAATTCACCATGAATTCACCACGTATTCACCATTAATTCACCTCCTATTCACCACGTTGCATTGCGGGTCTTCAAATATTGATTATAATTTTTATTTAAACTGAATTTGAGAGAAACATTTTAAAGATAAACTTCTCGTTGATATTGTTGTTGTGGTTGCCGACGACTGGACTAACGAAGTCGTGTTGTGCCGCGCGTGATGTCCGACGTTTCGCACCACGTGCTGCTGACGCTGGGAGATTCGTCGAGAACTGAATGCAGCCAGCTGTATTTTCAAGTCTCGCGGTTATTTTACATTTCATATTAGTACAGCGGCGGCTGCTGCTGCTGCTGGTGTCTGACATGGTAAATTAAGTTCGACGGGTGTCTGTTGGCGTGTCGGTGTGCGGTGCAGTAGCTGTGCGTGCGTGACTGTAGCTGTATCGGTGTATATGTGTGTTATTGTGTACTTGTGTGTCAGGGTGTGTAGTTGTGTGTCAGTGTGTGTCAGTGTGTAGTTGTGCATCAGCCTGTGTAGTTGTGTGTCAGAGTGTGTGGTTGTGTGTCAGAGTGTGTACTTGTGTGTCAGTATGTGTAGTTGTGCGTCAGCCTGTATAGTGGTGTGTCAGTGTTTATAGCCGTATCAGTGTATATTTGTGTCACTGTGTGTAGTTGTCAGTGTGTATCTGTGTGTCAGTCTGTGTCAATGTGTAGGGCTGTCAATGTGAATGTGTTTATAATATTTTTAACTTTATGACATTGTCTGTGTATCTACGTGTATTGTGTGTGTACGTGTGTCTGAATGTATGTGTGTGTATATATATCTGTTGCGGTGTGCGAATGCATATCCGTTGTGCATCTCGAAGCGCACCTAGTCTGGTACAACCGCTGCGGTGAAGCCACCGTTACTTCGCGGCGAGCGGCGGATGTGTGTGTCTGTGTGTCAGTGTGCGTGGAGAGACAAAGGCGGCCGAGTCGTGGTGCTGGCCACACCATCCCCTCGCGTGCCGTGCCGGCCTACACAGGGGCATGCTGCTACTCGCTAACAGCGCTCGCCCCAACAGTCTACGACTGCAGGAAGGGATCTTTGTCTTTGCTATGTGTGCACTAACGCATTGTTATACATCACGTTTATTCAGTGTAGCGTGCACTGTGTGCGAAGCGTTCATTGTGTATACTGTGTACAATATAGTTGTTGTCTTACAACACGCAAATCACATGCGTATGTTTCGTACATTACACACACACACGTGTAAATATGTGTGTATGTATTTTTTCTTTCATTGTGTTTTTCCTATTCATAATAGTTGTGCGAGTTAAAGACACGTAATGGTCTGACCACATATGTGTCTTCAAACCCCTCCACCACCCACTGTTGCGTGGCCAAAGCCACACCATCGTCAACATGAATAATGTTGCTTGCATAATATATTTTCATGGAGACCGCACACGCATTTCACATACATGACACACACGTGTCGAGCGCGTTGCATGTAGCTGACATGCAAACCGCGTGCGTGGTGGTGTGCGTCGTGGTGGCTAGGAGATGTTGACTACCTCGCCTGGTCTACAGGAGGTCGTGGGTTCGATACCGACCGTGACGCCTGCTAATGTATATTTGGAGTTTGCGGTGTGTCTCTCTCTCCCCGTGGTCGCGTGAATTTTTCTTCGGGTCCTCCGGGTTTTCACTCCACATTTATAAATATAACTTTAGATAATTTGTCTGCTATAAATGTCCACGTGATAAGCCACTTCGTTGGGCTATCATTTGTGGCCAGGTGGCTTCTGAGAAAGACCGATAATAGTTCAGTGGGACCTTACCTGGTTAAACTTCAAATATATATATATAGTAATAGTAGTCATGTTACGTGTGATTGCTGTGTATATATATACTGCATAGTGCAATACACTTACGTGCAATAGGAAACCACTCAATATTCAAGGTTGATATTCTCAATATCGCACCTCCGTATTGTATTCACTCCCCTCTTCATCTGAAGGCAATGCGAGTTTGAAGACGATCGCTCAATATTCACCGGTTTGCTCGACGGAGTCTAATAATGCGTTTTGACAGTCAATATATACAGTCACAGACTAGAGGCATAGACACGGGTAAGAAGGCGAGGTGAGTGAGTGAGTAGGTGAGCGAGTGAGTTGGTGCGTGAGTAGGTGAGTAGGTGAGTACCACTCAGTACACACACAGTCACAGAATAGAGGCATAGACGCAGGGAAGCAGATCCTGAGCACTCCGTCGTCAACATGAAGCGAGTAGAATGACATTTGAATGCTGTTGACTTTTACACCAACAAGTACAATTTTGAGTGGACGGGTTAACCCAAGAAAAATCACATTTCGCTTCCCGCACACATGATGTAGTGTCCACGCGTGTTGAGTGGCACGTGAATGCACGACTTTCCCGAACTCCAGAATCCCCCGGACCTACCGCTTGCCGTCTTTGCCGATCTAATTCAAGTAATATAATTCTCTCCACGCTGCCGCGCCCGATGATTGTTAAACACACGTCCCGCCTGACGCGCTAAACAATAAACGCTGTCCGCATCACGCGCGGTACACGTGTACACACACGCGCACACACGTGGGCCACGTATACACACACGCACACACACGTGTGACACGTGTACACACACACGTGTGACACGTATACACACACACACGGGACACACGCACGCGCACTGAGATCTCAACACTTTATTCGAATTGCTCAGCGCGTCACGTGGGACGTTTTTAACAAGCATCGGGCGCGTGCAGCGGTGGAAGGACTCTAAGTTGAGTTTGAATGTGGAACAGATGGGTAAACGCGCATGGCCGGAGCGTGGCGCGTCGCGGCTGCTGGGGTCTGAGAAGCACGACGCTGAATGTGTGCAGTTTGTAAATACCATAGAACAAAATACGAGGTATTCTCAAACTCCGATACGTCGTATGGCGTTAACGCGCACTCTCCGCTGAATTGCCAATTAACTCCGTACACGCTGCACGAGCCCGATGATTGACACAAAAAAACGAGTTCTAACGCGTCTCGCGTTTGAGAGCGGCTCTGCGATCACGATCTGTGTGTGCGTCTCTAAGCGGTGTGGTCAGGGTGAGAACTCGGGGCGACCAGGAGTGACCCGTCTGTCAGTAGGTGGCGACTGTTGCTGCCGGGATGAGGAGGGTGCTCGCGAACTGCACTTGCCCCTGTGATTTGTTAAGGCTATACTGGGTGAAGCTTTGTCTTTGTACACGCTATATTACACACACACACGTACGTACGTGTATATTACACATAGCTATACATTACACACGCGTACATAATCATTACCCCCTTATACATATATGCATAGCATAACAAATGAGTCGTTTGCGTTGTGACTTTTCGAATTTGGCGAAACTTTGGACCACGATTGGCCAACTCTTGCGAATCACCTCGGCGGCGAATCTTTAACGTCCGGTGTGAGTGAGTGAAGCATGCGGTGCGAGCGACGCTATCACTGCTACCATATCGTCGTGGTTAACACAGCGGCAGGAGTAACACGCGTGTTACTAGCGCTGCGCCACGTCACCGTGGGACGTGCCTAGCAATCATCAGGCGCGTGCAGCGTGTGCACCGGTTTAATTCGTGCGCGCACTGAGAATGTTGGTACGCGTAGACACGAAAGTGATGATGTATGGACGTTAAGCCCCGCACATTAATACGCACTTTAAAAAAAACAAATGCAGTTGCAAGTCAGTGCAGTGTCCGCACTGTATTATTTCACGTGCAACATGTGTATAACATGTGTATATACTAACACGTGATTAATAGCATGTAATCTGCAGTCTATGACACATCCGTGTGTAAGAGCAGTGTGCATCGTCTGCCTGTGTGCTATGGTCAATCAGCTGCTGGATGAAGGATGATACCCGGTATGTAAACATCAGCATTGGGGAGACAAAGGCGGTCGGGCGTGGTGTACATTGCCGGCTTTCATCATGGGTGCTACTCGCTCTACAGTCTCCCAAGGCTGTAACATTGTCCACGCGCTATTAACAACACACGCGCATCTTCCACACAGCTGTTCGATATCACACACGCGTGCGTGATGGTTACACCTGTTTCATCAGCGTTGTTGTCGTCGGTACGTTCTGCGCACGTGCACATTTAATAGAATCAGGGAGTCATTTCTCACTTGGTATGTTCCTGGAACGCCGCTCGTTCGGCTGGCGAGTTAAGAAGTCGGCAGTGTCGGCCTAAGGCACTAACCACGACTACAGAGTATAAGCTACCCCTATCACTAACAATATTCTATCATTATTATTATACCATATACTCATCTGAATCATAAGAAAACGGATGTATATACGTACATATAGACATATATTACACCGTTTGCTAGAAATGGCTGGTTTATAATTTTTTAAAAAGTTGTCCATCGAGTGGATGGCGAGTGGCGAAAATTATTATCGGGGT